GAATTTTATAATTTGTAATATTTTTGTAAATGGATTTTTTCTGCCCACTTTTAGGGGATTATTGCTCATGTAAAGAAAAATTTTTATTATATATTATATATATATATTATTATAACTAGCCACTTTATCAAATTATCTTATAATTCAGGTAGTTTTATAAGTTTCTTGGGTTTTCTAGAGGCTCAAGCTTGCCAGTGAAATGTGGCCTCCTCTCCACTCCCCTGGTGTGCACATCAGTCGGGTCATGACACTGGCAGGCGTGTTAGGAAGCAGCAAAGTGGCCACTTCTGCCTTCCTAAGTGAGTGCTGTTCTGCCATCTGATGACATTTGTCGCTGGGCCTATATTTTAGAAGAGGTGGCTGAATTTCCAGAAGAGGTGGCTGAATTTCCAGAGGCTTTTTCTTAGCATTTGTTATGACGATCATACGCTTTGCTTATCCTCCTGGAATTTGTGGATGCAGCCACCGAGTAGCCTGGCCTTTCCAACTTGGCATTCTTGGAGTAAACCCTGGCCTGCCGCTGCTTTGTGGCTCACTCTGCCGGCTGTGGACTGGCTCCATCAGGTTTTGGTTGAGGGGCGCGCCCACCGTGTGCTGGGAGCTGCGCCAGCTGTGGCCTTCTAGTTAAGATTACACTGAAGTCAGCTGTTAGCAGCTGGCCAAGGACGGCACGTGCTCTCCTTGTTGCTCTGTCCAAGCTCACGCCTCCTGCCTCTTTCCTCATGGCGCTTGCATTTCTTGTTTAGCTCAGTGCTTTCTGTGGGGCTTACCAGTTTTTACCTTCTGTGTGATGTGTTCCGTGTCTCTCTTTAATTGCTCTTCCCGGTATCTGTTCTCTCTCCACTTTTTTTTTTTCGCAGCTGCCGGTATGGGGATCCAAACACTTGACCTTGGGGTCTCTCCACTTTCTTAATCTCATGTCTTGCTCTTGGCCATAGAAGATAGTTGGGTCGGCAGCTGTTGAAGGTGCACATCCCTTTCCATGGCTTGCTGGTTGTTTCTAGTTTCCCCTCTAACTTCTTAGCCAGGAATGGTCTAGGACTGTTTCTGATTTCCATGTAGTTCGGGCACGTGGTTTGTTTTTGCTGCTGTTTGGGGGTGGGTCACTTTATTATATATTAACTCTTCAGCTTAACTAGCTTATAAAACTGCTGGTAGATCAGTCGCGTGTTTTTTTTTTTTCCCCTGATATTGTTTTGTACTTTCTCTGACAATTCTTGCCAAAGGTTTGCTTATTTCAGTCTTTTTAAGGAACTTCAGACTTTAATTTCTGTCACATCTTTGTTTTCCCCTTCATTGTTCTTTCCTTCCTATTTTCTTCAGTTTTATTTTATTCTCTTTCTGGCTTCCTTAACTGTGTTAGCAACTAGCAAGAGAGAGCACCACTTGCAGGTCAGAGTTCAGGTCTGCACTGTTGCAGGGTTGACATCTGTGGAGACTCGCCTGGTGGCCTCGTGTGTGGTTCGACCTGGTGATTTCAGGAGTGTGTCCCCAGTTGGCTGGGTGATGCGTGTTCCATGCACTTGGTGGTTGTGTCCTGTGTCTCTCACCAGCGAGTCTGTGCAGGCTGTTGGGGACAAGGGTGCCGCCCTCCCCTCTCCGGGGATTGGCTTCCTGCTCTTGTTCACTGTGACACATCCCAGGTCGCTTTTTGCCTTCATCTCTTGTACACTGTCTCCTTCCCTCCTTTCACTTTCAGCCTTTCAGATTGTCGCATTCTAGGGCTGTCTCTTTAGGGACATGCCTGCATTTTGGTTGTTTTAATTCATCCTGACAGTCGGAAGTGCGCACTTAACCTTCCGGTCAGGGAACTGCTTCCCGGCCCCCTCCTCTGTGCTTTCTAGTCATCCTTTTTAATATTTCTTTTCATTTCCTCCTCTTCTCTTTCTCCTGGTTTGGAAGTCAGATGTTTAAGTCAAGAAGTGCATCTGTTTAAAGTCTTGAGCAACTAGGTAACGTCTCAACTTTCCTCCCAGACAAGCCCTGTCTGTCAAAGGCTTTCCTCCCAGCCACCCGCCCGTCCTCCACGTTGGTGTCATCGGGTATTTTAATTTCACCCCCTTTTGATGCCAAATTAGACATGACATTTTCTTGGTCTGTGCCCGTTCAGTTACCCACGGTTCCTTGTTTCCATCCTTGCTTCATCTCCTCCTTTCTCCCGGTTCCCAGCCTTGGTCCTCTACCTAGTCCCTCGATGGGGCAGGGCTGGGTTCTGGTTTCCCACTTGCCCCTCCCTCCCATCCCAGACTGCTCCAGAGCAGCTGCGAGGGCAGGCCCCATCGGCCCGCCTCTGGCCTGGGCTCTGGGTGCAGGCTCCACCCACCGGGAGGCTGGCAGCGGCTGGTGCAGCCGGGGCAGCATGCTTGGAGCTTTCTCCTTCAGCTTACCTGGGCGGCCCTGGCTAAAGCCTGCCCAGGATGGCAGCGGTAGGCTCCCAGAACAGGGTGTGGAGGGGGTGGGGGGGTTCCTGCTGTGTACCCAGCAGTGGCAGGACAAGGCAGTGGACGGAGAAGTTCACAGGCTTGCCCTAACCCTTGTCCTCCTCTCCCAGTTTTATCACGTTCCGCTCCTGTGCTTACCTGGACAAGAAGCACACCATCTTTGGGCGGTAAGAGAAATGGCGGCATGGAACCTGAGGTGTTGGCGCAGCTGGACGGGTCCCTTCCTCAGCAGGCACCTCCTCACTGCCTGTCCCCAGAGGATTGTGGCTGTGCATGTGGAGTGGGGACTTGGGGCATTTCTGATGGGTGGGGGTGGCTTGGCTCTCCAGACCTGCCGGGCTAAGGAGAGGGGGAAGCTTGGGCCAGCTGCCCTGTCCGACTCACGCCCCCCACCTCTGGGCACTTTGATAGTGCCCGAATCGGAAGTCTGGGCCACATCTTGTCTTGCTCTTGGTCCCTTAGTCCAGGGGTTGGCAGACTTTTCCTGTAAAGGCCCAGGTGGTATTTCCAGTTTTGTGGGCCACACGGTCTCTGTGACAAGTACTCTTTGGTGCAGCATGAAACAGAATAGACAGCATGGAAGCAAGCGGGTGGGGTTCTGTCCAATAAAACTTGATTTACAAAACCAGGCAGCAGGGAGCTGGGTTTGGCCAGGGCTGTGGTCTCCTGGCCCCCCTCATTTCTCCTGTGGCCCATCCTGGCTCACAGCTAAGTTGCTGCCCGAGCCCTGCCGGCCCATCTGACTGTGTGGCCCTTGTGGGATATCCTGCCTGGGCACGTGCAGACCCGCCTCCATCCCTCTGCTGCAGGGTTGTTGGGGGCTTTGACACGCTGACATCCATGGAGAATGTGGAAAGTGACCCCAAAACTGATCGCCCTAAGGTATGTGCCCAGGGAGACCAGAGGGACCACTGCCAAGTTGGCGCTGGGTGGGCGGGAGGGAGGAGCCTGCTGGCGCCGGCCCTCAGCCCCCTTCCGCTGGCAGGAGGAGATCCGCATCGACGCCACCACGGTGTTTGTGGACCCTTATGAGGAGGCCGATGCTCAGGTGAGGGAGACGTGGGGCTGCCCCTGGGGAGGGCTCCAGGCAAGTCCTTCCTTGCTGGGGCAGGAGGGGCCCTCACACCCCCAAACCCAGGGTCCGTCCCCACCTGAGGCTCCTGGTCAGCCACGGCCCTGCTCTGCCACAGATTGCCGAGCAGCGGAAGAAGACGCAGCTCGAGGTGGCCCTGGAGGACAAAGTGAAGACCAGTCAGCCCCAGCCGGGGAGCCAGGGCCCCCAGACGTACCGCCAGGGGGTGGGCAAGTACATCAACCCGGCCACCACGTGAGTGGGATGGGGCTGGCCTCTCCCATGTGTCCCTCCAAAAGGCAGGGACCCATCTAACAGTGCTCTACAAGGACCTACTGATGGCCCTGAGTCAGAACCTGGTGGGGGTGAAAGCCACGTGCACTAGACTCAAGCAGTGACTGTGTGTCCTGGGGGCCACTGCAGCCAAAGGGATCTGCACCTGTGCACAGAGACCAAGATTTAGGGGACAGGGGAGCAGTGATATGTATTTGGGGGGCCGTGTGTAGATGTGGGATATGTGAAGACTGCAGCACTTCGGGGTGTGGGCTCCCAGCTTGGGGCCTGATGCCTGCCCGGCAGCTGGAATCTGGTTCTCTTTCCAGGAAACGAGTAAAAGAGGAAGAACCATCAACCAGTACAGCCGCCCCTGTGGCCAAAAAGCCCAGCCGAGGTTTTGGGGACTTCAGCTCCTGGTAGCAACAGGCCAGATGCTCTAGATCCTGGTACGGATGCAGGGCTGCGGGGCCCTGAGTTTTCTGCCTTCATAAGCCTACCCTGCAGGCTGTGATCCAATAAAGCTCTTGCCTGTTGCCTGGGTCCCCTTTCCTGGCCCCTGGGAGCCCACAGCCTCCTTATTCCTTACCTGGTGCCAAGTGGCCAGGCCCTGTTTCCAAGGCATGGGCCCAGCCAGAGCCCACTTCTTGGACCTCCAGCACAGGGTCTGGCCCTAGACCAAACCTGAGGTGCAGGCCTCCAGTGGGCAGGCCGGGACAGTGAGGAGGGATCGGGTCCCCATCTGGTTTTCTTAATCCCTCTTCCGTCATCTTAGGGACAGCCTGTTTACTCAGCATGGGTCCCTGACCAGCACTATCACCTGGTACCTTGTTAGAGATACGGATTTGCAGAGCCCAGACCTGAACTGGAGCCTCCGGGGGCTGGGGCTCCTCGGGATGTGATGCGACAACCCTCAGGGGTTCTGATGGAACTGGAGGTTGAGGACCCTGGACTCCAGTCTTAGTGTTACTTTCAAAAGCCATTTCCACCACCCCTTGCTGGGGCTCTCAGGACCGGACTTAAGCTTGATCCTTGGTTGTTCTCTTTTCCCATCTCTGATGCTGAAGCTGCAGGCCAAGCCCTGGCTCCCTGGATGGCAGGCAGAGCCTCCCTGCCCCGCCCATGCCCCTCGCCCACCTCCACGCACTGCCCAGGGACCTTCGTGACACAGCTCTGCCCACTGTCATCTTGCCTTGCACCAGTCACTGACACCTCCTCCCCAGCCTGTCCCTCTGCAGCTGCCCCTTCTGTGAGCAGGGCTCTGGCTCTAGAATGGCCTTCTAATCCCCTCCCTCACCCCCTTGCCCTCCTCCAGGCTGTCCCCAGTCCCTTCTTGTCCAGCTGCTGCCTGATAACTCACATGTGTAAAAGCAGGTGGGGGCTTAGGGGTCATGGTGAGCGCCTAGGTGAACCTGAACCTGCAGGCCCAAGCCAGCACCCAGGAGGGCACAGGGCGTGTGCCAGAGAGGCCATGACCCCAGGGGAGGGATGGCCAGCACGTCAGGATGGGTAGAGGTGCAGTTTCCCTAACTGTAATTACGCTTTTCTCCGGCCACACACGAAGCCCCCGACCAGGCAGTGAGCTTGGAGAAGCAGGACTGCAGCAGCCCCCAGACCCTGGAGGAGCGCCGAGACCCAACAGCCCTTTGGTCCCAGTGGGTGCTGCAGTAAACCAGGGCTCAGCCTGTTGACAACGAGCACAATTTAAAAGGAGATGTTTGACATTGGAGGCTTTATTTGTAAACCTCACACAGACATAGGACCAAGGGCTGGCAGCACGGCCAGAGGAGGCTGAAGGTGGCGTGTGCTCGAGCTTGGTGGTCCTGTTCCTTAAGGCAAAGCTTCTGGCTGTCCCCAGGTCGCTGTCTGGCAGTCCAGCCTTACCCAGTAGCCTGCACCTGCCCTGAGGGATGGGCCACACAGCCTCACCCACTTGCCTCCGCCCCCACCCCCACCGGGCAGAGGACAGGCCCGCCGGGGGCTGTTTACAAGTGAGGGTTCACATTTCTGTAGTTCGTTTTAGAGCTTAAATTTTAGTTTTCTAGATGTTAAAACCACTTGGATTTTGTAATTACCTGATGAAGTCATCAGATAAATTAAAGGACTTATGGAAAAATTCTCATTTCTGGTCCTTTTTAGTATCTGGCAGATGCCATCAAGCATGAGAGTGTTGAGGTATAAAAATACTGTATAAAATGGCAACAAAACTAAACCACATTTCTAAAGCAAATGTACGGTGCCAGAGACACTCCATTATGTCAAATGCATCTACAAATCCTGGCATCCCCTCCTGCTATTTAAAATAAAAAATAAAAATAAATAAAAAATAATTTAAATAGAAGTCACGGGATGATATTTATTTAGGAATTTAAGAGGGTGGAACAGTCCAGCACTTTACCAGCACATCTGGTTATGGTACTGTGAATATCACATCCCTGGAAGCCAGCTCATGGTCAGTTCATTTGGTTTAAAAAGAGCTTGTATTTTGCAGAAAACCAACGAAAAAAGTGATAGAAGTTTTGCTGGTATCAGTTACCAAAAAAATACAAAAAAAGTACTAGTAAAAATTTTTCAATCAATGCCATCACAAAAGACAATACAAAAACCAAAGTGCTCAAATTGAAGGAGCAGTAAACTTGCCCAGAACATATAAAAGCTTTAAATATAATTTTAGTATATACAAAAGTTGGTCAGAAGAATTTCAGAAGATTCTCTCTTCCATTTAAGTGAAGCATCTTCTGGAGACATGCCTAGGAGCTGGGCTGCCCTCCAGCTGGGCTGCCCCAGCAGGTTGGTGACAGCATGAGCCCCCAACCATCTCCCCATGTCCTCTGGGAGCCTCCAAGGCCAAGTCCCCACTTGTAAGAGGAATGACGACTGGAAGGGAAGGGTTGGTTTTAGCTACGTTTTCAGCCACTAGTACTTATCCCCCATCAAGAAAGGCGTCTTTTAGCCCCTTCACGGTTTCAGACAATGGACTGAAGCCACAGACAGGGCTACCTTACGTGCCAGCTCATGAATGAAGCACCTTCAGATTTCACATCACAGCAGCCGGGCCCCTGTCGTGGGGAGTGGCTGGATGCTCAGGAAGGCGTCCGGATGGACAGCTGCACCGACCTAGGGACAGCGGAGTGAGCTGGGCAGCCTCGGTGTGCAGGGGCAACTAGCTCTGGGAGAAAGCAGCCTGCGGGGCCACAGCCAAACACACAGGCTTGCCGAATTGTGCAAAGATTTCCTTCCTTTCTAGGGAAAATTTCTAGGTTGTAGATGTGCTTAAAGTAGCTTCTGCCACAGCTGAGCTGATGTGTCTCAGAGATGTGCCCACCAGGCCCCTGGGCTCACGGCAGTGGCATTCCCCATGTTCCAAGGCTGTGAGCCTCAGGCAAGGAGATGGTACCAGAAGGTACGCTATAGAAGGAGCAGTGAGCCAGAGCCTGTGGCAGCCAGGGGGTGTGGGTTGGCAGGGAGCCGGAGAGGGTTGGAGTCAGGGAGGGGTATCAAAAGCTGTATGGGACATTTTCTTACTGTCCTCAGCCAGCTTGCACTTGCTGCCACTAGCTAGCCTTGTATGAAGGCAGTTTCAGAGCCATCGCCAGACTGAGAAATATCTGCACACTGCTCTCCTATCTCCCTGCTTCCCATCTTCCCTAGGCCCTTTTCCTGCCCTTCTGCCCTGAGTCAGGTTACAAAACATTGAAAGCCAAAACTTATCTGGGAATGGCTTTTGGTCTCCATTCTCTGCAAATTGGCCAAACGCTTGCATAGTGCCCTGCAGAGGCCCAGGTGGATGGGCAGGCACACAGGACCTGGGAGACTACACAGGTCCCCTCTGTGTCAGTCCATGTGATGATACCAGGCAGCAAGGTGCGACACTGCCAGCAAACCAAACATCTTCATTTACAAAGTTTAAACCTGTCTCGCAACTTTAGCCTTTCCTGAAAATACCTTAAACAATCTTGCAAATCTCAAGTTTTGAAGTCTTTTCAGTTGGGTCTGGCCTCTTTCATATTAGAAAGTAATTCTTTTTCTTCAAGTACGTCAGGGTAGAAAATGAAATCTGACTTTTACTCAGTCCTGTGTTACTCTGTAACTACATGGACCAGCCACTCTGTGACTACCTGACACACAGGCTGCTGTGACTGATGAGGGTGCTACCCCCAGTACCAGACCCTGAGAGGCTGTTGCCTCAGTAACCCTGCCTCTGCAGGCCCCTGGGACAGTCTTCTCTAATGACTAGTTCACTGGCTTTCTAGTTAATCTATTGGCTTAAACAAGATGTTCTGGCTGGCCAGTTAACTCAGTTGGTTAGAGCACAGCCTTATAACACCAAGGTCACGGGTTCGGATCCCCCTACCAGGCAGCCACCAAAAACAAACAAGATGTTACAATTTGACTCATTTCTCTATTTATACCTTATCTAAAATCTTATCAGTGATGTCATCTGTTTTTGAACAGGCTAAAAAAAACCCCAATACCCTTGGTGTATAAGTTTGTTGACTGCTTCTGGAAGATTCTTTTTTGTGTGTGTGTGACTGGCCAGTACGAGGATCCAAACCTGTGACCTTGGGGTTATGAGCCTGCGCTCTAACCAAGTGAGATAACCTAGAATATTCTTAAGTGAGCACTATGCCTTAACAGTTCATCTATAAAAGGAATAATCAATTTGCAGTTTTGCAAATTAGAAAAAAAAGGGGGGCTACAATACATTTACTCTAAAAAAGGAGAGGCAAGGCCTGCTCTCTACAGAGACCCAGTCCCTACGGTCTTTGGAGACTTGGCTTGGTTTTCTATCGAACATGAAAAAGCACAGCCACACGATGTGGAAGGCAGAGGTCAAAAGAAGGTATGAACTAGGTGAAGAAGTCATCAGTTGTCTAATTCTTTCTCTAGATCTTGAGTAGAAAAAGAATATTGAAAATTTTCAGAAACAACATGTTCACGAAGAAGACACAGATCAGAGGGGACGCCTTACCCAGGGAAATGGCCGTGAGGCCTTCGAGTGTCAAGAGCTAAGCAGGGGACCAGCCTGAGAGGTTGAAGTTCAAGAAACAGAGCGTCATCAGGATGCTCCTCCATGGCCATCACACTCACAGTCTCTTTCACAGAAGGACATTCAAAGGAGAGTGGGAAGCTTTCACTTTACTCCCAACCATTGTCTTTGATCATGTGGGCAAGCTCAATAATAAATTTTCCTTCCTTATATTTCTGACTGCTCTCAAAGGCATGTTCCTTGAAAAAAAAGAAGTAGAGAGAAGGTTTAGGACAGAATGGGTTTCATTTTCCAACTTCATTACACTCTTGGCAAAGAAAATAAGTCTATAGTATTATCTATACCCAGATGTCCCCTGAGCGTGTGCTGACCTGGGGCCAGGAGGGGACTGTCTCAGGCAACAAGTCCACTTTTACGTTTTTAAAAAAAAATTTTGTTGTTGTATTTTTAAAAAATTATTTTGGCGGCTGGCCCATAGAAGGAACTGAACCCTTGCCGTTGGTGTTATAACACCGCACTCTACCGACCACTTTTACTTCACATTCATCATTAAACTCACAGGGCAATGTTCCTTTATAACCGTTCACGGACCATCTGCGTGTGGGAGTTTAGGAGTGTAGAGAGGTGCAAGCCCCCCTGCCAGGAGTTCCGTGTAAGAGGAGTGTGAAGGCAGGGACAGCCAGAGTGATGGGGAAGAGAAGGCCCTTCATGGGGGTGTGCAGGCCTCATCTCCCTGCCGGGAACTGGGTCCCCTCACAGCTTATAACACAAATGGGGAATCGGAGACCAGAGACAATCACCTGCAGAAAGAACGCAGGTGACACCTTTGAAAAGGAAGGCCCCTCACTTAGATGGGCCTCAGGTGCCAGAAGGCGGGGGTGGGGACTTTTGCTGGGAGAGATACTGTCAACATGTAAGTGTTTGAGATGGCCCAGGAGAGGGGAGGATTCAGCTGACAAAGGTCAGACAGAGAGGTGGGCCCCAAGCATCCATACTGGCCTCTACAGTGAAAAGACCTGAGAGACTTCTGGGAGAGTGTTGGGGACCAGGGGGAGGCCAGGCCTGGAGGGATGGCAGGAGGGGGCTGGGCGGGGCAGGCCTGTAATCTTTTGGATGTCAGATCACCACATGGTGCACCAAGAAGGAAAGGAGAGGTGAAGGCTGGGAGAGGGGCAGAGATGGCGATTTTCAAAGAAGGGGCTGGGGACAAGAGCCCATGGGTGGCAGGGTGGGCCTCAGTCCCTGACCCCAGCAGGTCCTTGTGCTGAGAGCTTACCCCTTACAGTGAGAGCAGCCTCATGGCAGCTCCCTCAGGCTCCTCCTGCCCCATGCCCTGTGGGACCTGGGGCAGCACTGGTGACTGGCGCTGGCTGGGCACAGTGAGTGTGGCCACGCCCTGTGCTTGCCTGTCTTTAACTGGCTTCCGGAGAAACTGCTGGAAAACACATTGTCTTTGATTGACATCATCTATCCCACTCCTGGGGAGGTCTTACTTGGTTGCAAATGAACTGCATGTCCATTTATGGCCTGTCACAAGTGTCACAGTGACGCTGCTAGAACAGGCAGGTACTCACATATTTCCACCCCAGCGTGGTCTTGCAGTTCTCACAGTAGATGTCCGCCACCGCGTGCAGCCCAGTGAGGAGGACCCTCTCCTCGGCAGGGCCACAGCCCACGTTCACCCTGCGGGGACACAGGCAACAGTGCTGGAGGCCCTGTCCTGGCCCCATCTCCAGCTCATCTTCTCTGGCCCCGCACAGAAAAGTTCACCAGAAATGGAGAACTTTCCAGAGAGCAGCACTGCACGTTTTAAGCTTCCCTGCCCCCTTTCCCACCACCACTTTCAATGAGAAGGAAGGACTTTTTATCTCCCCATGAGAATCCTAAGATGGAACAGGCTGAGCAGGAGCTAAATCCTCAGAGAATACAGTTAACGCTTTCAGGAATTCCCAGATGAGGGCGAGTAGGTTCTTTAAGGTCAGATAAAGATTCTGGGTAATTCTAGACCACTGGTGGCACTCCATTTACATACTTCAGCTTTGAATATTTAAACAGGTGGCTGTCCAGAAGCCATTGGTGCCATCCCAGAGGAATCCATGCCCCCAGCAGCCTGATGACGACGGGTACTCACACAGAATTGAAGAGGTAGGCTCGCCCTTGACTCCCCTGAAAGGACTGCAAAGAAGAAGATGGTGTTAGAAGGCTGGTTGTGGTAAGACAACAGGGACAAGGAGTTGTACATTCTGGAAGGAAAGAGGAACAAGGTGAGCTGTGGGGCTGCGTGCAGAGCGAGAGCCACCCAGAGTCCCTGTGGGGCTGCCAGGGCTTGTTAGCTCCACCAGGGCAGGTCACCCAGAGCAGAGCAGATGGAGTGCCACCAGAAGAGCAATGGTCACCAAACAGAGCGACACATTGTTTCTGAGTCTAGCCTGAGTCAGGCTGATGCTGTGTACTTCATTGTTCTGCAAGGGACTGTACAGGTGAAATCACAGAACCAGTTTCAAAATGGTGAGCTTCATGGGCTTAGACACCTCAACCCAATTAGGGGAGATCTAACATGGGATGGTGAAAGAAAACCTGCAGACCCTCAAAACGCTCTCCTCACCGCCTCTTCTAAAGCAGTTCAGAAGCATCTCATGCATCACTGTCAAGTATTAGAGGGCAAGGGGAAGTTTCCAGACTTTTCCACTGAAATAAAAAAGTGTCGCAGCCCAAGACAGCAACTCAACTTGGAGAAAAGAACCTTCCAGTGACATCTCACCCCGGCAAAATGTGGCCAGCTAAGAAATAGCTCATAGTACATTCACGTATTCTAAGATGATTGAATGTAAAGGAGCCAGGATAGGACACTGAGCCTCCCTGAAACGCTTGGCCGCTCAGGAACAGGAGAGAACGCCAGATGTGAGGACTCGCCTGCTCCACTGCCAGCCTCAAATGACCAAACACAACATGATCAACCTCAAAAGTACTCAAAGAAATGCAAACTAAATCAAGAACACCGTGAGGGGCTGGCTGGTCAGCTCGGTTGGTGAGAACGTGGTACTGATAACACAAGGTCCAGGGTTTGATCCCTGCACCGGCCAGCCACCAAACCACCACCACACCACCCAGAAGGCTGTGACGAACGGAGACAAACACAAACTGCCAATATCAAAACGTAAAAGGCACATATCATATGACCCAGCAATATCACTTCTAAGAATTTACTGTAAAGAACAAACCAGCTGAGTATATAAGAAATGTGCCAAGAACAGTCACCATTACAGTGTTCATGATCAAAACTGGGAGACCCATCAGCAAGCGGGTGAACAGCGGCACCCACACGGGCCCCTGCACGGCTGGGGCAGGTGGAGGGAGCACACGTGGGAAGATATTCATAAAATATTAAGTAAAGAAAAGTGAGCTGTAAAATGAGTGTCACGGGAGCTCTTTATTTAAAGTAAAAAATGTGTTCCTATAGGCCAAAAAAAAGCATACCCCAAACTACTAACAGCCGCAATTCCAGGAGTGAAGCTGGGACAAGGCAGGAGAAAAAAGTAATTTTCATTTTTTACTTTCCATATACACATTATTTTAATGTGTGACTATGAGCAATAATTTATTTTATAATTGAAAAAAAAATAGGAAAAAAGCCCAGAACCCCGGTTGACCCTCATAGACATCTCACCTGAACATGAAATAAACTTTTGCCTTAAGCCACTGAGATTTGGGAGTCTCTCTCCTACCTAGCCTGAGACTAGTAAGGGGTTTGGTTTTACAATATGGCTTTCAGACTTAAAAAAGGGATATTTCCTTAAGCAGTTTTCTAAGATTAGTAATACTATTCTATGTTCAATTTAACTAACAATCATCTTACAGACTTTTCATACATCTTTACCAGCTTTCCATTTTCTAGACTGAATTTCCTAATTTCCCCACCTATTCTGCAAGTCTTTATTTTTTTATTTTTTCTGCAAGTCCTTATTTTTAAACAGGGTTTGGATCAGTGATGGGAGTAGCTCTGTGATTCAGATTCAGACCTGACCAGAGCTGTAGACAGCATATTTCTTCTGTAAATTAGGGCCAGGAGATAAATAGTTTAGATTTTGCAGGTCTCTGTTCAACTATGTCATAGTACAAAAGTAGCTATTGTTGATATGTAAATGGACGAGCAAGGCTGTGACCCAATAAAACTACAAAAACAGACGGTGGGCCAGACGTAGCCCACAGATTACATAGTTTGCTAAACAGATAGAGCCTTCTAGCAACTAGAGCTGCTTATAACAAGAACAGGATCCCTTGGACCAGGGGATTTCTTGCTAGTGACAAATATGGACTTGGAGATTGGATGAACCCCTGTCAAGATGGTGTCTCAAGATGGCACCTCTAGCCTGTGTACTAGAGTCTGTGACATGTGAGAAGTGTTCTTTCCGTTTTCAATGAACTCCTCCATTGGAGGAGACATAAGGAAGAAAAGAGACAGTTCAGTACAGCTGTCATCTTCATCACCAGCTGGGACGCAAGGTTCTGGGACCTGTGTGCTTGGGAAGCTTAGTTCCTGGCATTCTTCTCATCCTGAAATGCTCATTTAGTGTCATGACTGATAATGGTTTCCACTGACTTCCTAGCAGACTTTGGCTTTTTTTTTTCTTTTTTCTATTTCTTGGTAGCTGGCCAGTATGGGGATCTGACCCCCTGGCCTTGGTGTTGTAGCGCTGCAGTCTAACCAGCTGAGAGGACTGGCCAGTCTTGGACTTCTGCTCGCGATAATGTTTTTTTTTTTTTTTTTCTTTTGTTTTTTTCCGTGTCCAGCAACGGATCACAACCCTCAGTGTTGCCCCCGTACCGGACCGGGGACCGGCAACGGGATCGCAACCATCGGTGTTGCTCCCGCGCCTCGCTCAGCCAGTGAGTGGGAACTGGTCTGTATGAGGGATCCGAACCCTCGGGCGGGAGCGCCGCCACGCTTCCCAAGCGGCGCACTATCCAGTGCACCACCGGGCCGGCCCTCGCGATAATGTTTTTTTTTTTTTTTTTCTTTTGTTTTTTTCCGTGTCCAGCAACGGATCACAACCCTCAGTGTTGCCCCCGTACCGGACCGGGGACCGGCAACGGGATCGCAACCATCGGTGTTGCTCCCGCGCCTCGCTCAGCCAGTGAGTGGGAACTGGTCTGTATGAGGGATCCGAACCCTCGGGCGGGAGCGCCGCCACGCTTCCCAAGCGGCGCACTATCCAGTGCACCACCGGGCCGGCCCTCGCGATAATGTTTTTTCCCCTCTCACTGAGCTGATCTTGATGTAATTCTAAAAACAGCTAAATGGCTTTGGGTTTCTTTGAAAGAAGCATCTCAAACTCCTTTTGGCCCATGCAATGATGGACATTGCTGGCATGCATCACAATGACAAACCTACACGGTGCCCGGCACTGACCACCTGCTCAGGTGAAAGGTCATGGCTGGTGCGTGAGTGTCATGGGCTCCAAGACCTCACCAAGCCACACAGCCCCCACCTGGAGGCTCAAAGTGGCTCTGCCTCTTGCTAATTCACGCCTCTGTTTTCCACACCATGCCTGCCTTGGAAAGCAGGGTGCCTCAGGTACATGCAGGTCTTAGCCAAAGCTCCTTTTTTTTTTTCCTTTTTGTCTTTTTTTGTGACCGGTAACAGGATCGCAACCCTTGGTGTCGCACCCGTACTGCGACCAGCAACAGGATCGCAACCCTCGGTGTCACGCCCGCACCGCGCTCAACCAGTGAGCGGACCGGTCTCTATATGGGATCCGAACCCTCGGCGGGAGCGCCGCCACACTCCCAAGCGCCACACTCTACCGAGTGCGCCACCAGGCCGGCCCAGCCAAAGCTTCTGAATGGACAGAGGAGCCATGGAAGCAGTGAGAGCAGAAACTCTGCCTAAACAGTTTTCACTGCAGATGATGAGCAGGAATGACACTACCTCTCTTACTACCTGGCGAAATACAGGTAGATTGTAAATGTTCTTCTGAGTCAAACAAGAAAGTTGAGAAAAGGT